GACATTGGACCGACCTGAAGGACACTGCAACCGCTGTGTTCAAGCATTTGAAGGTCGTTGCACATGCCATACCAAAAGGTTTCTAAGCCCTTACTGATTGGAATCAGTGGTGGGGCCGCGTCAGGAAAGGTAATAAAATGTACAAAATTTGTTTCGATTTTTAAAAGACTGAAGTGTGTCGTAAAATCAAGGAGGTGTTAAGCAAGAAGTCCAATGGAAAACAAGCTGTCATCTTGTCACTTTCTTCGTTCTATCGTGACTTGACGCCTGAAGAAAGACTCCTAGCGGAAAGCGGTGATTTCGATTACGATCATCCGAGTGAGTCGTGACCATTGATAGCCTTTCGTGACTTTTAGTTCATGAAACTGCCAGTCATTTGATATTGGTTGTGGTGGTAGTTTAGATGATTCAGATTGCCTTAGAAGTTTTGTCTTTACAAATGTGAGTTCTTTACAAATATTTCTTCGAAGGATAATGGACCGAATCCTCATACGGATTGGTTCCACAAATGAATTGCATAATTCATGCTGTGAAAGTGAAGCTAACCGGCATCGACGGCCTGCCGGTGAGTTTTCTTACGAGCCTTAAGTTGCACGCGACCTCCTAGTGTCTCGCTGCTCGAGGTAGACAAAAAATCATGGGAGTGGTAGACGTTTATTGGCGAATCGTGGCACTAGATAGTACCGAAACGTGCCAAGGTGACGCTAAACGACGCAAGCAATAAATGCAATAGCAAAGCGAAAGCGTGTCACACGTGTTGCGTGGGTTTGAACAGGATCCACCTTATATATACACCTGAGCGGAACACCGTGCTCAGTAAAACAAGCAGAAGTAAAACAAAGAAGTATCACAGTTGGAGTCAGAGTTGATTGTGAAGAAAATATGAACGGAAAACGTCCTCATGGATTGCTCCTTTTCTTCATACAATCATGGTCACTACAGCAGCCCCCCGCTAGAAAGCAAGCAAAAGCGTTCGATTTAGAAACGAGTTTGGAGAGCAGGCAATCGTTAGCGTGTGGCTGTGCTTCAAGACGAACTGGTAGAATCGTTGGTATGTTTGGACTGTTTTGATTCAGTCTAACATCAACCAGATTCGTTGCATCGGATGTCAGCATGGGACCCATATTGACATATCCTCAATCGGTCATTGGATGATTCACACCATCCTAATCGTTAGTTGCATCATGGTGTCCGGTGGCTCTCGTCGTTCCTAGCGTCCGTGATCGTTGGCGTGCCAGAATGAACGAAGTAGACCACTTGTTATCCATCTATGCGACCGTAAAAACGTAAATCGTCTTCAACAAATTCTTGAGGTCCAAAGGGGCCCCGATCGTGCGAGAGGGTGCCAAAATTCTCGTTGAACCTCGAGGCAACGAATGTGCGCTTCGTGTGACCTGATCTCTTAAAGTGAAAGATTGTTGGAGAAAACCGTGTGGCATCCTAACGTTCAAAATTGCTGCATCAATCATAAACAGTCATTGAGCATACAAAACAAATATCGAGACAAGGCGTCTCGTGATATAAGTCGTAATAGGTATTGCTCACGCTATACGCTTGTGAGGATCGTATTTTGCTCGATCCCGCAGACGGGCAGGCAAAACAATCCTTCGACCTGAACGTGAGACTGGTGTCTCGGCCTGTTTTGATAAGGTGCTCGTACACTGCTGATTTGAACGTCGCCTCCTTCGAAATCGTAGCAGTTGCTGCTATCTGCGGGCTCGACTCTGAGGTAGGTGCCTCAATCATCGGCCGTTCAGGAATGACATCGAGTCTCGAACTGGCGTGCACTGCACCATCGCCGACATAGATTGCCTTGAGGCGTTCGATGTTAATCGTATCGACGCGACCATGTCGATCTACCTTGAAGAACTTTTCGTAACGCGAAATAACTCGGAAAGGTCCTTCGTAAGGCTGTTGTAACGGTTTACCTACTGCATCAATTCGAAGGAATACGTGCGAACAGGTTAAGAGTTCAGTGGATATGAACACCTTTCGTTGCTATATTCGAGTTTGTGCCGGAGACAAGGATTGCATAAACGTAGACAAACGTTGCACGTAGTCCTGTATTCCAATGGAATCCATGTTGCGTGGCGTGAAAAATTCCCCAGGCAGTCGTAATGTAGGGCCGAAAATCAGATCAGCCGCTGTACATTGGATATCTGCCTTTAAGCATGTTCTGATGCCTAACAGAACACGAGGTAACGTCTCGTACCAATTAAGGTTCTCGTGTGCCCGAAGGGCACCCTTAAGTTGACGGTGAAAACGTTCGACTAGACCGTTAGATGCTGGATGGTAAGCAGTTGTATGAATACGATTCTTATCCAGCAATCGTGTTAACGAAGAGAATAGTTCTGATTCGAATTGTGTTCCTCTGTCAGTAGAGGCACAACCGTAGAGTGCTATCCATCGTTCTACGAAATGTCGAGCCACTGCTTCGGCCATGACAGTAAAGATGGGAATAGCCTCAGGCCATCTAGTGAACCTGTCAATACACGTGAGTGAACGAGTATACCCGTGTGACGGTGGTAATGGGCCTACAATATCGATGTGAATGTGATCAAAGCGAGCGTCAAGCGTAAATCCACTCGGTAATATACGGCAAATAGTAAGTTATATAACCGGAAGAAAAGTAGCAAGAATTAGGCTTATAAAAGTCGCTCATTGTAGCTTGCTTTTAACACGGAAGCGTGGCTACTCGGGGTCAGATTAGGTCGATCCAAACCTTTAAAGGACCACAGCCCCACTTGCTCGCGTTTCTTTTAAGCCTTCTGATAAAGCGGTACTTTTGTGAATATATTTCTGAAGGAACACCAACTTATCGTGTGTTTTTGGTTTATCTAGTCATGTCAGTTCACAGGACTGGTGGCTGGTGCCAACGAGACTCCAGTTTCTTGCGCAATCGAGCTCCAATGCTCTCAATGCGCTTCAACAGCTTTCGGATGCGCTTCGACAACTTTCGGGTTCAAGGCTTGCGCTCAATAATCCCGGTTCTTTTTTTATTACACACCTAAGTGTAATGAATAACAGACGAGGCGAGGGTCGTGGTGGCGCAGTGGTTTAGTCGCTGTCACCAGCGTGCTTTGGACCCTGTGGTCCGAGGTTCGAGCCCCGCCACCACCATCCGACTTTGCTGGTAGGCAGTTCTGCTGTCGCCCGGTTTAATACAACGCCTAACCTATCGGGGCCTTACGTGGCTCGCCACTCCGTCCCGGGGCTTAGGTTGCCGGTTTCCACCACTGAACAGCAATTCCTCGTAACTGTGGGGTTCGCCCCGTCTGCTGTTCATCACACGTAGGTGTGTAATAAGAAAAGAACCCCATAGTCACGAAGACCTGCTGTTCAGAGGTGAAAACCGGCAACCTAAAAGATTATCAGAGTAGCACTCATAATTGGCGAACCTTCTGAATTTCTGAATGAAAAAAATATTCTGGAAACTACCGGTGTGCATCTCGTGAGTTGCGGTTGAGAGGTGAATAAGGAAATGAGCGATACTTGTAAATGAAAAATGTAAAACGGCCTGATCAGCTCCCCGGTGGCCGAGTGGGCACTAGCTTGCGTTCTACCTGTGAGCTCCTGAGTTTGATCCCCGGTGAGGTCGATGGATTCGCACTGCTGATGAGACCAAACCAGATCTAAACAGCTGTACGGTACTTCATAGCTTCTCAGTTCACGCTTCATATACACGACGAATTCCCCCTATGAAATTCAGTAAAGTACTACACTCTCATGGAAGATGACGATTCGTCCAATTTATCCTCTGGTTGCAACAAAACGGTATGTCAATTCCACAAATGTCTTCTTTAAGCCTCAAGTACTTGTGTTACAGCCGCTTACATTGTACTCTCGTCACTAGTCATGTGCATGTTTACTTGATCTCTAAGAATCGAATGTAAAGGCAAAGATGATTCTCAAACTTAACCGCGGACTAACTCTATGCGCATGAAGTTGGGTAAACTGAGAATAAAAGCCCATTTGTTTGACTTTTGCGCGCCTTCTGTACTTGTGTTTCGCGTATGCTGCAACTAGACTACTGTCTAAATTCATGATGCTCATAGTGCGAAATATCACCCGTTTTATTTGTTTTGCATTTATCCTGTAACAACCTGGCACAAACTGTGGTTTTGGTCACCGTCTCCAAGCAAACCCTCCTGGAACATGGTGCAGACTGAAAAGCTGCAAGCATCCTTTAAAGATAGGATAAGTGAGCAAATAGATACACGCAAAAGCTGTCTGCGGCACCAATTATACTCTGCTAGAAAATATGTCAATCCTACGGATTCCAGGTCGATGATTTAATGGTATTTATATTTATTATCTTCATCTTGGCCGTGAACTTCCCCCAACGACCAACCACCCCACGGAAAGTAGCAAACCCAAAGAGTATGCTTGGGGGCGTTTGAAACAATTGCCTGTGACAGCACATGATGTGTATGTTTATATTTTCGCACACGTCTGAGTTCAGACTGCTAGGTTGCTCAGGCCAAAACAGGTGAACTCTCTTAGTAAGTTCACAACCGGAGCTTTCGGTTAACCAAAGCCTGCCTCGCAAGGCAGCAGGCGGTGGGTGAAAACCGCAATCCATGGGGGCCGGTGTCCAGTTAATCGGATCATACATCCTTTGGACGAGGTCAAACCCACAAGGTACCCAATACACCTCGGTGCCCAATCTATCCGGTGACCACTACAACATGTGATGTAGCTCGGGCACCCACCTCGATGTTCGATCAAGTTTACGTGGTCTTCTGTATCTCTACTGGGCAGTTAATTGTCAGCTGTAATCCCGAATTGTTGTTGTTATTGCTTTTATCGTTCAGGGGACGATTGCTCACATGGGATAGATCGGTTGCATGAATAACTCATAGAGGAAGTCGTGGTCTGGACATACTTTTATTAGTATACTCCTCCGTGTTCGAGCCTGAGACCACAGTAACCTAAACCTCCCAATTAATGCCACAGTACACACCATAGGACATTTTTAACTAGTTTCTCCAACAAATCAACCGTATCGAAGCGCCTTGGAGCCGAGGGTAAGAATAGTGGGAGTGTTGCAAGAAGCGATGATTTTTATTACCCGCCCTTGTGAGATGAATCGCAATTGTAAATGTCAGTCGTGATAACTCACTATTCACACATGCTCGGGATTTACCATGTAGAACCATATATAGCTCTACTGTGATAACTGGGTTATTCAGCGGGACAACAGCAAATCTGTTTGCCACCAAAAACTTTTATCTCATAGTTCTAGCATACTGTTGCAATTACCATATCGTTTTGAAATGTTCGATAGCTATCTCTTATTGCGCCATGTAACATTTCTAAACAATTGATATTATTGGTACACATTTCGTTTATCATAGATCTTCTGCTAATGAACCGCGTAAAGCGTTAATTAAACCATCGGTTCCAAATGAACGATATATAAAGATAAACTATCACGCCACCTTTGGCGTATAAAAACACGTTAAAACGTCAAATAGAGTTGGGAGTAATACCAAAGTATGGTGTGTTTGCAGTTGGTGCTGGTTGTTTCCTTACTGAGTTCAGCCTTGTGGCATGCATCTAAATCCAAACACTTTTTGGATTATAACAACGACTTCTAAGTCTTGTTTCTTTCTTCGTACCTGTTTTGTAACAGATGGATGTCACGGAAGCCTTCACCATCGCCGACCTGCCAATTCGAGCAGTAGAATCTATTGGGGAGTTAGCAACGCGCTAACCGCACCTGCGAGATCTACGATTTGAAGAAGCTGACTCTTGCGAAGTCGATTTGCTACTAGGATGTGACGTGCCAGAGGCACACTGGGT